AGCCTAGAATGATGTGTGCTAAGTTTCGTAAAAATCGGTTTAAATTTAAATATAGCTCCCATATATTTTTCGTTTGATTTAATATAAATGGTGCACCAAAGACCCTGTATATCTTTCGATTTGCACGAAATTTAGCACAGCCTACTAAACTAAGCTTTGAGTGATGTGTGCTAAGTTTCGTGAAAATCAGTTCAGATTTAGGAATAGCTCCCATATATATTTTCGTCCGATTTAAGGTAAATTGGGCACTAAAAATCCAAAGTTAAGCCGATTGGGACAAACTTTTGCACAACGTACTGAAGTTACTATAACCTACCGGGTGTCAAGCTTTGTTGAAATCAGTGCAGATTTAAATATAACTCCCATATATAGTTTCGTCAGATTTTAAGGAAATTGTGCACCAAAGAGTCACAGTTACGTCGATTGTCGCACAATATTACACAACGTATCGAAGTTAAAGTAGTCTAACGTGTGCTACGTTTTGTTTAAATCGGTTCAGATTTTCATATAGCTCCCATAGTGGTGAAGGGTATCATATAGTTGGCACCGTCCGACTTTACTACATTCCTTACTGGTTTTTTTGAGGCTTCAGTATAGGCGAAGATTTTTTGAAGACTACTTTTTTGAGGGTCTATCTAAGGCGTGGATTTTCTTAAATAATATTTTTGAGAGTCTATCCATGGCGTAGATTTCTTAAATAATATGTTTCCGAAGACTATCCAAGTCGTGGATTTTTTAAACAATATTTTTTAAAACAGACCATTATAAGATGTGGATTTTTTTAAGTTTATTTTTTCAAAGACTATCCAAGGCGTGAATTTTTTAGAGAATATAATATTTCTTTGATTTTTTTTTAATTTTTTTAGTATTGGGCATGAATTACTCCTAAAACAATTTTCAAAGATCACACCTGTTATAGGGTATTTTAAAATCTATCAAACTTTATCCCCATTTTTTCAGATTTTCAAAACCCAATCACTTTAATTTAAAAATTATGTTGAACCTATGATTTGTATCGAGGATTTTTTTTTTTTTTTTTTTTGTTATACTCCATCCAAGTGACTTTGGAATACCAAACGGGGTGGGTTTTTCCTAACAGACAATTTCGAATGTTTGCACAGTATTTGTTTGTGTGTGTGCTTGTATTTCTTGCAACTCAAACAACAACCTGACAACAAAAAGTCGGCGTTTTAATTGTGCCACTCGGCGATCTATGCAATTTCTGTGTTGTACACACTCATGGCAAAATAATTACAGGAGTTGTGATGCAACTCCATACCAGCGGGTTTAATAGCTATTGTGCGAACATACATGCCTATAATTGTCTGGAACTCTCGGGGGCCAAGATCACCATCAAAACTTTATGGAATTAAACTTGATGTTGGATATGACTACGCCGATGTCGATGACGATGACGTGTGCACTGACATTTCATCATTTGTTTTATATTTTCATTTCCATGGAAACGGGTTAATGTGTTAAGTGTCTGTCTGTCTGTTGCGATGTACTTTGTCTTACGAGTGGCTATGAGTACGAGTAAATACGTCACCATAACCTACTAAGCGATCAGTTAGTCGGTTAGTTAGTTGGTATTGGGCTTATTAAATTGTTGCAGTAAGTTTAAACAATAACATGATAGCTATGTTAACACACTTGGCAGAAAAAGGTTGGTAACAAGCTTGTAAATATTTACCGACTGTCCATTGAGGTTTTTTTATGGCATTTATGCTGGGGTTAAAAAAGTAAATGTTATGATTTCGCTGTCAGCGGATTATCGGATGTGTGCCATGGGGTATTTTTTGTTTTGTTTGTTTGTTAATTAAGCTATTATAATTTTTATGAACACACTTTTTTATTGTTATTATGTGTTTTAATATATTTTAATATAATATTATTTAGGCAAAGGTTAAGGTTATATGGTTTGTAAAAAAAATAATATGGCTTAAGCGAAGAAATATTAAATCAGATTAAAACAAATATTTTTTAAAAGAATTGTGGATTGTGGGGAATTTTTTCTTAAGGAATGACTTAACGTTTGAACGGTTCAAAAATTATTTCTTTTAAATCACTGATAGGATGGATGGATACTTTTTTAGGAAACTAAAATAAATCACTGTCCATTAAATATTTAAAAAAATTGAGTTTTTCGACGCTTGTAGATTTTTTAAAAACAAAAAGTGTTTTTTTTTTAATCCGGGCTTCTAATATATTAAAAATAATTTTTTAAGTGAGTTATTTATACACTTTCGAGGCGAGCTTAATGATCTAAGTTTTACAATAAAAGGGAAAGCCAGGAGAAGAACCTACGTACTCACCATTATGCTACGCGTTGGGCGGAATAAATACATGTTGTCAACAAACGACCTTTGTAAATCCACATCGCCCAATATGTCTGATGAGCCGCTTAACCAACGGCGAAACGCGTCGCATAATGGTGGGTACGCCTTGGAGAGACTCCGAAAAATATTCTTAAAAAATAAGTCTTGAAAATATTAAAAAAAAAATAATAAAAATAAAAATATTCTTAAACCAGTAAGGAAAGTTCAAATGTCGGAAAGTTCAAATAGTAATAGTAAGGAAAGTTCAAATATGATACCCTTCACCACTTTAGGTACATACAAGAGATGCTAATGTATAGATATTTGAACCAAATAAAAAAATCATACACATACCATTCTGAAATCAATGAAAAATTGCATGGCAGACTTGGATTCTTTGGTGTTTTTTATTAAATCGATCAAAATAATATATGGGAGCTGACTCAAAACTCAATTTAAAACAATCTGCCAACCATAGTCCCTTCGGTACACCATTTACATAAAATCGGACGAAAATATATATAAGACCTATATCTAAATCTGAACCGATTTCAGCGAACCTCAACACACACAATTGCATTCGCTATACAACATTTTAAAATCGGACGAAACTATATGGGATCTATATATAATTCTAAACCGATTTGAACAAAACTTTGCATACATCAGTCTGGACCTAATTCAATACTCTGTGCAAAAATTGTGTCTCGATCGGACAAATTTTGCGAGTTTGGTGCACAATTTACGTAAAATCGAACGAAACTATATATGGGAGCTATATCTAAATCTGAACCGATTTCAATAAAACTTGGTATACGTCAGTCTAGACCTAATTCAATACTCTGTGCAAAATTGTGTGCCTATCGGACAAATATTGGGAGTTTGGTGCATCATTTACATAATATAGGACGAAACTATATAGGGGAGCTATATCTAAATCTGAACGGATTTTTATAAAACTTGGCATACATTAGTCTAGGCCTAATTCAGTTCACTGTGCACAATTTTGTCATCTAAATCTGAACCGATTTTAACAACACTTTGCATACATTAGTCTAGACCTAATTCGGTACTCTGTGTAAGAATTTGTGCCTATCGGACAAAAATTTGGAGTTTGGTGCACCATTTACCTAAAATCGGACGAATCTATATATGGGAGCTATATCTAAATCTGAACCGATTTTCTCCAATTTCACTAGGATTCGACCTTAGGCCAAATAAGTGAACTGTGCCAAATTTCATCAAAATCGGATCATAAATGCGACCTGTACTTTGTTAACAAAAATACATGGACGAACAGACGGACGGACATGCGTAAATCGACTCAGAAAATGATTTTATGCATATTCTCAAAAGGAACCATGGGTCTATCTCGATTCCTTTTGCCTGTCACAAACATATGCACAAAGACATAATACCCTGTACCACAGTGTGGTAAAGGGTATAAAAATCCACCCTTCAAATATACCCATTATCCAATAAACAGGTCGTGTCAAAAGCAATCGTTATCGACAATTTTGCTGTCAATTTTTTGTTTACGTTTTAACACAATTAAGTTAAAATTGAAAGCATTTTGACAACTCGGGTGATATCATCTGACCTTATCGGACGACATTATTATTGGATCATGAATAGACCCCAAAAAAATTATTTACTTTTTAAATAATCCACGCCTAGGATAGAGCCTCAATAGGTGTGGCCTAGGATAGAGCCTAAAAAATATTCTTAAAAAAATCCACGCCTTATGACAGACCCTTAGAAAATATTCATTAAAAAATCCAAGCCTTATGACAGACCCTTAGAAAATATTCTTTAAAAAATCCACGTCTTATGACAGACCCTTCGAAAATATTCTTTAAAAAATCCACGCCTTATGACAGACCCTTAGAAAATATTCTTTAAAAAATCCACGCCTTATGACAGACCCTTAGAAAATATTCTTTAAAAAATCCACGCCTTATGACAGACCCTTAGAAAATATTCATTAAAAAATCCAAGCCTTAGGACAGACCCTTAGAAAATATTCTTTAAAAAATCCACGCCTTATGACAGACCCTTAGAAAATATTCTTTAAAAAATCCACGCCTTATGACAGACCCTTAGAAAATATTCTTTAAAAAATCCACGCCTTATGACAGACCCTTAGAAAATATTCTTTAAAAAATCCACGCCTTATGACAGACCCTTAGAAAATATTCTTTAAAAAATCCACGCCTTATGACAGACCCTTAGAAAATATTCGTTAAAAAATCCACGCCTTATGACAGACCCTTAGAAAATATTTTTTAAAATATTTAAAATATTCTTTAAAAAATCCACTCCTTATGATAGACCCTTTAAAAAATCCCCGCCTGTAATAGAGCATCAAAAAATATTTTTTTTAAATCGCTCTTTTTTTTACTTTGAACATATTTTATTCCAGAATACGTTCGAAATAATTCCAATTGCTACAATACTACATAAATAATTACAACAAATTAAGAATTACAACAAAACAAGAGTAATCAAGGCTTTTCCCCTCACTATTTTTTCAGTTTTGCAAAAACACATTTGTTATTTTTTTTTTCATTGAATTAATTATTACAAAATTGTTTTAATTTTTATTAATAACTATTTCTTCTTTTAATTCAATTTTAGTTCAGTACAAACAAATAAAAAAACTAGTACAACACATCAGTCAAAATGAAAGCACGGCCAAAGTTAGAATTCGAAAAGGATCCCGGGTTTGTTCGAATCGATTCTTACGATGAAAATGAAGTCGATCGCATTGCCCTGTGTTTTGCCGGACGTTCGCTGTTCATTACCGGTGGTACAGGATTTATGGGCAAGGTGTTGGTGGAGAAATTGCTGAGGTTGGTGTGGAATGCGATTTTTATTAATTTGTTTATTTACAACTATATTTTCTCCGCCCCTCTCTCTCCCTCCCTCCCACAGGTCATGCGGCGATTTAAAGAAAATGTATCTGTTGGTTCGACCAAAGAAAGGCAGAGAACCCATTGAACGTATTAAGGATATGTTGGATAATGTGGTAAGTAATCCAGGCACATATATAACGTATGTGTGTGTGTTTGTGTATTTATGCAAGATAACGTACATCTGTATGCGATGTGAACATGTAAGCGTATAATAATTGTTAATATTAAAATTAATTATACGCAAACATGTTAGGGTAAAGAATTTTGTTCTGTACTAAACTGGGTGTGTGTGGGTGTTCTGGCAACCGCATGTGATAACAAATGAAGTTAAATTGCATTAATTCATGGAAGATAATATGTTATTAAATTCATCATAATTCGTTATGTGGATTTTCAAATGCCACTGAGTATATTTCTGAAAAAAAAATATCCTTTAAAAAATAGAAAAAATTTACTCTTTGAAAAATCATGCTAAGGATAGACCTTCAACAAATATTCTTCAGAAACTCCACGCCTCTAATAGACCCTCAAAAATATTCTTTAAAAAATTCGCGTCTCTAATGAACCTTCAAAATTATTCTTTAAGAATTTAACTCATCAAATAGATCTTAAAATATTCTCTGAAAATTCCAGGCTTCTAATAGACCCTCAAAAAATATTCTCTGAAAATTCCAGGCTTCTAATAGACCCTCAAAAAATATTCTCTGAAAATGCCAGGCTTCTAATAGACCCTCAAAAAATATTCTCTAAAAATTCCAGGCTTCTAATAGATCCTCAAAAAATATTGTCTGAAAATTCCAGGCTTCTAATAGACCCTCAAAAAATATTCTCTGAAAATTCCAGGCTTCTAATAGACCCTCAAAAAATATTCTCTGAAAATTCCAGCCTTCTAGTACCCTCTAAAAATAGTCTTTAAAAAATCCACCCCTTGGCTGGCCTCTAAAAATAGTCTTTAAAAAATCCACGCCTTGGCTGGCCTCTAAAAATAGTCTTTAAAAAATCCACCCCTTGGCTGGCCTCTAAAAATAGTATTTAAAAAAATCCACGCCTTGGATAGCCTCTAAAAATAGTATTTAAAAAAAGCCACGCCTGACTTAAAATTCTTGTTCTTTTTCTAGCTATTCGACAAGCTAAAGGAAATGCGAGGCCTAGATTGGATCCTCAGTAAAATTGAAGCCATACCCGGCGATGTTATGCTACCCGAGCTGGGAATATCCAAAGAAGACGCCGAGACTTTGCGTAACGAAGTGTCCCTGGTAATGCACTGCGCCGCCACTATAAGGTAAGGAACATCTCTATTTTTTCCCCCTAAGAAAATATTAAAAAATTTTCCCTCCCCTTTTTGCAGATTTGACGAACCCCTACGCTATGCTGTCTTCATGAATGTACGCGGTACCAAATATATGTTGGATCTAGCAAAGACCTTCAAAAAATTAGATGGGTTCTGTTATGTCTCCACCTCGTACTGCCATTTACATGTGAAGACCCTCTACGAGAAGCCGTATGATCCCCCTGCCGATCCCCACTCAGTTATGAGTGTTTGTGAATGGCTAACCGATGAAGATATCAGTTCAATTGAAAAGAAAATTTTAGGTGACATCCCCAACACCTATGCCTATACCAAAGCCCTCGCAGAGGCTTTAGTTGTAGAGACATTCGATACAATGCCCACGGCAATATTACGACCATCAATTGTTATACCCATATGGCGAGAACCGGTACCCGGTTGGACAGATAATATAAATGGTCCGACAGGGTTGTTGATTGCAGCCGGTAAGGGCGTGCTACGTACAATGTATTGTCAAGAAAGTGGTTATGGTGATTTTTTGCCGGTTGATGTTGCGGTCAATGGTATGTTGGTGGCTACATGGCGTTTCCTATCACCAGAATTGGGACCATTGGAGACACGTGTCGCCCATATGACCAGTTCGAATGAGATTAAAGTTTCATGGTCGGAAATTATTGAAATCGGCCGTTGGGTTATTGCAAATCGTGTACCTTTGAATGGTGTGGCTTGGTATCCGGGCGGTTCGATGAAATCGAATTATATACATCATTGGATTTGTATGATATTGTTCCATTGGATTCCGGCGCTATTGGTTGATTTTCTGCTGGTGCTGTTGAGATATCCGCCGGTGTAAGTATAAATATGAAAAAGACCCCCAAAAATATTATTTTTAAAAATCCACGCCTAGGATAGCCCTTGAAAAAGACCCTCAAAAATATTATTTTAAAAAATCCACGCCTAGGATAGCCCTTGAAAAATACCTTCAAAAAAATTATTTTAAAAAATCCACGCCTAGGAAGCCCTTGAAAAAGACCCTAAAACATATTTTTATTTACCTAGCTGGCCTGTGACAGAACTTTCGTTCCATAAGTCGAGCTTAAAAAACTGCGCAAAATACAGTCGCGTCGGTTTTTGCGCAGTTTTTCTAATTTGAAAGAGCATGTTCGGCAATGTTGTCTTTCACTTGGTCTTTCCATCTTATTCGTGGCCTTCCCCTTCTGCGTGAACCATTAGCTGGTTCGCTTTTATATGCCTTCTGGGCTGGTGCATATTCATCCATTCTCACAACATGACCTAGTCTTTCCATCTTATTCGTGGCCTTCCCCTTCTGCGTGAACCATTAGCTGGTTCGCTTTTATATGCCTTCTGGGCTGGTGCATATTCATCCATTCTCACAACATGACCTAGTCAACGTAGTCGCTGCAGCTCAATACGTCTAACAATGCCGATGTCCGAGAATAGCTGGTACAGCTCATGGTTCATTCGACGGCGATATTCTCCGTCAACGCAGATCGGCCCATAGATCTTTCGGATAATTTTTCTCTCAAACACTACAAGAGCTGCTCATCTACTTCCTTCAGATCCATATAATAGCACGGGTAGTATCAGCGTCTTGTAAAGTGTGAGTTTGGTCTGGCGGGAGGTGGCCTTGCTTTTGAGTTGCTTACTCAGACCATAGTAGCATCCGAATTTCAAAACTGTTGTCATTCGTTTTATTTATGGCGGTACCAAGGTATATAAAATCTTTAACTACCTCGAAGCTGTAGTTCTCAAGTTCCACACTTTGGCAGTATCCTTCTCAATTTGTTCAAAGGTGGCTGTTACCGCTCTCAATGTTCGACCCATTATGTCGATGTCATCGACGTATGCGAGTAACATGTGTTGTTTGGTGTACAGAGTGTCATTTCTATTCACTTTTGCCTCTCTCGTATGACCTTTACCAGCAGGATGTTAAAAAAGTCACACGACACACGACTGTCACCTTGTCTGAATCCTCGTTCGGTATTAAAGGGCTGTTGCACCAGTTAAAGTTATCCAGTATAGCCGAATTAATTTTGCATGAATGCCAAACGCAGACTGGCTTTAAACACCTCTGAACGGATAGGGCTGTCGAATGCGACTTTATAGTCCACGAATACGTGGAATGTGTCGATGTGCTTTTCTTGAGTTTTTCCAGAATTTAGCGTAGAGTGAAAATCTGGTCAATGGTGGACTTGCCAGGTCTGAAGCCGCATTGGTATGGTCCAATAATGTCATTGATCATTGGCTTCAGTTGTCCACACTGCATGCTGGATAGCACTTTATATGCGATGGGAAGAAGGCTAATTCCTATATAGATGGCACATATCGTCTTGTCTCCTTTTTTGTACACGGGATACAGGATGCTGAGATTCCAATCATTGGGCATGCATTCCTCTAGCCAAATTGTAATCAGCTGGTATATGCTCCTGACCAGCAACTGACCACCGCTCTTGAATTGTTCGGCTGGTAACCCATTGGCACCTGCTGCTTCATTATTCTTCAGCCGATTGATTGCTATTCTGACCGTATCATATGATAGACCATCAAAAAAAAATTTCTTAATCCACGCCTTTAACAGACCACCAAAAAAACAATTTTTTTTTAAATCCACGTCTTGAGTATTTCCTCAAAAACGTTTTTTTATAAATCCACACCTTGAATAGACCATCAAAAAATATTTATTTTAAAATTCAAGCCTTGAGTAGACCCTCAAAAAGATTTTTTTAAACCCTCACCTTGAATGGACCCTCAAAAAATATTAATGATAGTCTTTCAAAATTGTTTGACCCTCAAAAATATTCTTTATAAAATCGACGCTTAGTATATCCTCTCCAAAATTATTCTTTATAAAATCGATGCCTAGTATAACCTCTCAAAAAATATTTAAATATCCACGCCTTATTTTCATTTTTTTTTAAATACCCACCTATTTAATAATTATTTTCCTCTCCTTCCTTTCCAGTTTGATAAAGGTCCAAAAACGCATTTACAAAGGTTTCGCCGTATTCGAATATTATGCCAACAATGTGTGGAATTTTGATAATCGAGAAGCCATCAAGTTACGAAAACTCATGAATAATCGGGAGCGTCTAACCTATGTCATCGAGAAGGTCGAATTCGATTTGTACGATTATTTCACTGAGTGTCTGTTGTGTGCTCGCCGTCTGATATTGAAGGAGACTGATGATACAATCCCAGCTGCCAAGAGACATATGAAAATGTAAGATGGAACCCCATTAAATACTTCAAAAAGGAAATATTCCTAATAATTATTTTTTTCTATTTTAGCATGTGGTGGGTGGATAAGATCTTCAAGTATGCCTGCTACTTTGGCATTCTGTATTTCATATATCGCCGTTTCATATCGGATTTCCTCTTCGACAGCTCAACATAGTCCAATTTGAATGCATTCCACATTCTCATCGATAGTAGTAGCTATTAAAATTTATTATCCTTATATCAAGGAAGTTCGTAACCAATTTCTAGATGATAAGCTATTTTGTTATACGTCTTACGTTTGTGTGTTAATATTAATTGTTTAATAATCTGAATTGTTGTTAAGCCAATTTTTATTTACCTGTATTTTTTTGTTATGGAGAAAAAAATTAAATAAAAAAATATTAGAAAACAATTACCACCAATCTATGTTACGGGTTCCATAAACAAGATATATTTCACATGAAAACGCTATGCAATAAAATCTAGCTCATAGTCAGGGGATGAAGCGCCTTACGATAGTCTAGATATTCGCAAAAGTCGACTTTTAAGGGCTAAACAGAATGTTCGCGTTGAGCGTTTTTTGTTATCGCGTTAACGCACGCAAAAAGTTAAAATATATTTAACTCCGAAGCGCAGCGCACATCAACTTCGAGCGTAACGGATGGCTCAACGCGAGCATTCTGCTTAGCCCTTTAGACTTTTCAATGTTTGCCTCCCACCAAAATTCGTTTTTGTCTTTGACTAAAAAGTCGACTTTTCAATCTTTCGATTTTGTCAAAACTGTTCACAATCGATTTTCGACTTTTACCCCCTAATGTAAAATCGACTCAATGTAATGTAAAATCGGCAACAGTTATATAATGCGTAATTTTAGGGCAATTTGGACTTTGTGATAATAAACCAAGAATTTATAAAGAATATCGAAAGTCGATCTTGAAAAGTCGACTTTGCGATTTCTTCAAAGATCACAAGTCGACTTCGACTTTTAGATTTTTCAATACAGAAAGTCGATTAATCGATTAGTCGATTTACTTATCCATACGATAGTCCCTTTAAAAATATGTTTAAGAATCCACGCCTTGTGACTTACTTACCTAGCTGGCTTGTTACTGAACGGTTGTTCCATAAGTCGAGAAAAAAAAGATTTCCATGTGCGTCGGTCTTGTGCGCATCTCCTACAATTTGAAAGATTGTGGCCTTCCCCTTCTACGGGAACCATCAGCTGGTTCACTGTAGTATGCCTTCTGGGCTGGAGCATCTTCATCCATTTTCACAACATGACCTAGTCAAACGTCGTAGTCGCTGCAACTCAATACGACTGGCTATGTCGATGTCCGTGTATAAATTGTAGATCTCGTGGTTCGTTCGACGTCGATATTCACCGTCGACGCAGATCGGCCCGTAGATCTTTTGGAGAATTTTTCTTTCAAACACCCTTAAGAGCTGTCTCATCTGCTAGCGCAAGTACCCATGCTTCAGATCCATATAACAGCACGAGTAGTATCAGCGTCTTGTAAAGTGTGAGTTTGGTCTGGCGGGAGTTGGCCCCTATTTCTAAACTACTTACTTAGACCATAGTAGCATCTGTTGGCCAACACAATCCTTCTCCGAATATCAAAACCTTATGTCATTCGTTTTATTTATGGCGGGGTACCAAGGTATATGAAATCTTTAACTACTTCGAAGCTCTAGTTGCTCAAGTTCCACAGTTGGTCCGAGTCTACTGGACGTCCTGCGCGTTGATACCATCAGCTTGATCTTCTCGCCGTTTACTGCCAGACCCACTTTGGCAGACTCCTTCTTAATTTGTTCAAAGGTGGCTGTTACCGCTCGCAATGTTCAACCCATTATATCGATGTCATCGGCGTAGGCGAGTAACTTGTAATTTCTGTTCACCTTTGCGTCCCGAATGACCTTTTCCAGCAGGATGTTAAACAGATCACACGACAAACTATCACCTTGTCTGAATCCTCGCCCGGTATTGAAAGGCTTCGACAGGTCCTTTCCGACTTTAACTGCTGATCTTGGGCCACTTAAAATTATCCTGCATAGCCGTATTAATTTTGCAGGAATGCCGAACGTAGACATGGCTTTAAACACCACTGAACGGATGGGAACGGATGGTTTTTCGTGGGGTTTTCCAGGATTTGGCGCAGAGTGAAAATCTGGTGGATTTGCTCTGAAGCCGCATTGGTATGGTTCAATAATGTCATTCACCATTGGCTTCAATCGTTCACACAGCACTTCACTGGATAGCACTTTATATGCGATGGGAAGTAGACTTATTCCTCTATAGTTGGCACATATCGTCTGGTCTCCTTTTTTGTGCACTGGACACAGGATGCTGAGATTCCAATCATTGAGCATGCATTCCTCTAGCCAAATTGTACAAATCAGCTGGTGCATGCTCCTGACCAGCAACTGACCACCAGTCTTGAATAGTTCGGCTGGTAACCCGTCGGCTCCTGCTGCTTTATTTTTCTTGAGCCGATTAACTGATTTTATGACCTCATCTTGGCTAGGTGGTATACACTCTATACCATCATCTCTTATTGGTTCTGAATGTATCTTCTTTACCGCCACTATTTTATACCAGAAGATTTTTTAAATGTTCCTTCCAGATCCTCAATACGCTGTCTGTATCTGTCACCAGGTTTCCTTCTTCATCTCTACAGGAGGATGTGCCTGCACCAAAACCTTCGGTTTGGTGTTTTACTCGTTGGTAAAATTTCCGGACTTCATTCGGACTCCTGTACATCTAGATTTACTCACGCTCACGTTTTTCTTGTTCTTTCTTCTTTTTTCTGAAAATACGTTTCTCCTCTCTCCTTTTCTCCCGACAGTTCTCCATCACATTACGTGTTGCTACTGCCTGCAGAGTTGCCCTATAAGCTGAGTTTTTCACATGAGTAGCATTACGACACTCCTGATCGTACCATGGGTTTCTTGGTGGTGGTTTTCGATACCCAAGTGTTGCTTTTGCTGCAGTTTGTAGGGAGTGGGCAATTCTTTGCCATTGTGCTTCTATAATATTATCGGGACAAGAAGTGCTTTCGGCAAGCATGTGGGTAAGTTGAGCGGACTAGGTCTCGGCTATCTGTTGTGTTTGCAGCTTTTCGACGTCGAGTTTCCGTGTTTTGTTAGATCACACCTTTGCTGTAACATTAAGACGAGTGCGAACCTTGGCTGCTACAAGGTAGTGGTCCGAATCGATATTCGCTCCTCGGATCGATCGAACGTCTACTACACTGGATGAATGCCTTCCGCCTAGCACAACATGTTCGACTTGATTGCTCGTTGCTTGATCAGGAGAAATCCAGGTGGCCTTGTGTATATCGTCATGCTTGAATCTGATGCTGCTAACTACCATGTTTTTTGCTGCCGCGAAGTCAATCAACCTCATGTTGGATGTTTCTTCATGGAGGCTGAATTTTCCGACGGATTTTTTAAAGAATATATTTTGTCAAGGCTTATTCAAGGCGTGGATTTTTTAAATAATATTTTTTTAAGGCTTATCCAAGGCGTGGATTTTTTAAAGAATATTTTGTCAAGGCTTATTTAAGGCGTGGATTTTTTAAAGAATATTTTTTTAAGGCTTATCCAAGGCGTGGATTTTTTAAAGAATATTTTTTCAAGGCTTATCCAAGGCGTGGATTTTTTAAAGAATATTTTTTCAAGGCTTATCCAAGGCGTGGATTTTTTAAAGAATATTTTTTTCAAGGCTTATCCAAGTCGTGGATTTTTTAAAGAATATTTTTTCAAGGCTTATCCAAGGCGTGGATTTTTTAAAGAATATTTTTTCAAGGCTTATCCAAGGCGTGGATTTTTTAAAGAATATTTTTTCAAGGCTTATCCAAGGCGTGGATTTTTTAAAGAATATTTTTTCAAGGCTTATCCAAGGCGTGGATTTTTTAAAGAATATTTTTTCAAGGCTTATCCAAGGCGTGGATTTTTTAAAGAATATTTTTTCAAGGCTTATCCAAGGCGTGGATTTTTTAAAGAATATTTTTTCAAGGCTTATCCAAGGCGTGGATTTTTTAAAGAATATTTTTTCAAGGCTTATCCAAGGCGTGGATTTTTTAAAGAATATTTTTTCAAGGCTTATCCAAGGCGTGGATTTTTTAAAGAATATTTTTTCAAGGCTTATCCAAGGCGTGGATTTTTTAAAGAATATTTTTTCAAGGCTTATCCAAGGCGTTTATCCAAGGCGTTTATTTTTTAAAGAATATTTTTTCAAGGCTTATCCAAGGCGTGGATTTTTTAAAGAATATTTTTTCAAGGCTTATTTTTTAAAGAATAATCATATCCCAATAATATTCAATTTCAATACAATCCAATTATTTTTAGAATTCATTAAGATTTAATTAAAAAAAAAATCGATGCATTTGTTAACTAACCTTTCTCAATTGCAAATATAGATAGATTTTTATTGACGCATTTAAGACCTACAAACTGGATTGCTCGTCATTAAAGCGGAAAATTTTAAAAATAAATATCAGTAACAGCAATTAATGTTTAGAATAAATTTATAAATGTCAATGGCACATCCAGGGTTTTTTGGGGTTTCCTTGAGGTTTGGCAGTGCAAATATTCAAATAACAAAATCGGAATTTCATTCAGCCTTGAAATTTACATACAACCTTGAAACATTCGTTGTTTACTTAGTAAAAAAATTAATTATATTTTCAATATTTTATCTATTTATTTATTCATAGAATTAAATATATACAAATAAATAAATTGGAAACTGGTTTAAAGGCATGAATCTTTGGAATTTATTTTTGTTCTAATCTATTTATAACAAAACATTCGTCGAAGGGGATTTACAATTGATTTTTGTATTTGTATTTTGTTATTACAAATAAATCCAAAAAATAAAATCTGGATGACCTTTAAATGTCTCATTTAAAAAAAGTATGCTATTATTCTGTCATTCACTGCAATTTTTTTATTAAGGTACGACTTTGTAACACCAAAATCCATAATCATAATACTCGTATTATTATAAATATATTTTATTGGCCAATATTATTATTTAAAATTTGTAATTTTTTAAAGATTCGTCTACTAATTGTTTATACTTTAACCAATTAACACATATATTTTTTATTAAATTCATTGAAATGGTTTAGAGGATATGGACTTTGACATAAAAAAATTTAATCTAAAGACTTG